TACGAGATCGGTTCTTATTATCTCTAAGGGTTCTGGATTTCGGATGCATCTCCGCTACTAGGGCCAGAATTGTAGGTGTTGTTGTTTTAGCATGTCCTCTCCTTAGATTTTATAACTGATGCTTGAATAAGAGTTTTGTCAGCCTAGGTCACATAAGATGAGTGAAGGACTGATAGGTGAGTTTTCTCACAATCAGATCCCGACTAGAGTGGACTACAGCAGCCCCATGATACATCAAGTCATGAGTATCATGGTTACGCTACCACAACATTTTTCAGTCATGTTTATCAGAGGGTTAAAGAGCAAGTGTAACATTTGAGGCAAATCAGGCTCCACTCAAATCACATTTATGGCTTGATTTTCGATCAGACAAACAAAGTTTTGTCAGAAGTAGTTTGACCATTTTTTCGCTACTTGGTCATATTGGCAGGAATACCCAGAGGAACGCACCTTGGCCGGAGACCATAGTATGCACGATAATTTGCAGGGTCGGACCGTGGACTTGGTACATTCCTGGACGTTTCACATGCATCGTCAGTGAGCTTTGCCATTCTTAGCATCACACTACAATTCGTCAAAGAGACAAATGGAGTTGATCCTTTGACCAAATGTGTGCTATTCACCTTTACCGTATTATCGTATCACCCCTTCAATAAGGCAATTTCTTACTTGTTTATCCAGACCTATTTGACATCTATTCACACTCCTCGCTGGTCTCCTCATTTCCCCCACTGTACCCAAGAGTCCTCCTCTTGCTCCGTATGATACTTTCCTTATCTGCCTGTTTCCACACTTTGCCTCAGGCCTTTGATAGCACATATACACCAGCCACACTGAGCAAACCCCTAAAGTATGGATTCTTAATCGGCACGGCAACCAAACTTGAGGCTGCTGATTCCCTTATCGCTATGCCACATGGGCACCAAGTAAATCTCGTGGTCAATTCCTTACTTCATGGACCACGTCTATGAGCAAACTTGTCTACTATTAGCCAACCAAAAATGGGCACTATCGTTCTTCTCGCTCTTCTATGACATTCTATTGCGTCCCAAACCCCAAATGTGATAGTTCAACTTGATTTAAATAGATTCACTGTAGACATCTCCTCTTGGTTTCCGATTTTTCCTCTCTTGTCTTCCTATCTTTGTCAAAGGTTTGTCATTTTACTCGAAGGCCTTATCTGTTTTCGTTATGAATAGTTCATGATACTACTCATATTATTGTGGGAAAGATCAACTATCAGTACCTATATCACCTAAAGAGACCTAGGATGACTACGTTTTTATTCACAACTGACTGGGTCTGGCTATTTCGCCTCTTCACGAGCCATTCAGCTGATCGAGCTTTCGGTCCGTTTACGGTTCGACGACCGTGTAGCCCGAGCAAGAATTGCATTATTCTCAACGAGGCTGACTAATAATGTATTCTTTACTTGATCCGGTTTACAAGTTTGCTCGTGCAATAGATGGAGGCACTTAGCATTCTAGTGATTTGCATTTTTCCTCGATACTTCACATTCTTGCTTATGTCCCTCAACTCTATTTCTTACATCCTTTAGACAGTCTATTTTTCGCTTAAAAACCTTCAACTTCGCCTCAAACCCTAAATTGTGAAAGATAGAGACCATTAAAAAAAATAACTCTTACTTGCCCTCGCTATGTGACCGTTTTTGACTGCTTCAGCGGAGAGAGTGTTTTTTCCTCTGCTTCTCGGTCTCGGCTGAGTGAGAACACAGAATCAGGCAGCGCTTTATAGAAACACATTTTTTCTCTAGCAGAGACCAATACACTTAAGAATAGCAGACATGCCAGGCATGAACAAAATTATTAATACCAGGATCGTAGATACTGATTGTCAAAATGTTGTCCTAACATGATTAAATACTGTTGTCATTTTAAGCAGTCGTCTGGGAGGAGATAAATTAGAGCAGTTTGTCGCCCTTCAGAATTCATACGCTTGACATCTTCCCAAAGCCTTAGTCAGTCTGAATTTGTTCCACATGATCACCCACCCAAGGCAACCTCCAACGGCATTGACAACATATTCGACAGTGGCACGGAAGACAGTTTCTTCAGCGATCTTCTCTTCAGCTCCACCACAGAAGTGCCTCGGTTACAGGATGGCTCAAGCCAGTCAGCTTTGACGACCATGGCAACTGGTGAAGGCAAGGACCCCTTCGTCATTGACGATAGCACACAAGGCCAACTGGCACCAGCGAGACATTCATCATCTGCTGGCACAGCAGCTTCTTCACAGAGGGCAGCTGCGATGCCGTCTGCCGGGCTCGACGCCTTCTCAGCATTTCAGCCTTTCGGCGGCGTTGAAGACCTTTTGGGATGTGGACCCTCCAGCCCCACCAACAAACAAGCGTCTCCGCCGGCTCTGCCACTGCTCCAGCCACCGCCAGTGACGTTGAGCCATTCGTATCGATACGGGCTACCTCGCTCCGGCACCGGAGCTCGGAGGCCTGAGAAGCAGTACGATGGGACCTCGAACCTCGCAGGAGAGCTGTCCGGTGAGCCAATAGCTCAGCATTATCATCTGGGATAAAAAGAAGATGTCGTCTAAGAGCATAAACTTCTTGATACAAACTAGCTTTCCCGCTCCCCAATCATACTTTGTGACACTGAAACGGAATATGTCAGGTCGTGAGGGCATAGCAGACAACTAAACTATAAAAACCTCATACCCAGTATGAAATTCCTCCCATATGTTTTAATTTAATATTCAGAAGCCTTACGTATAACATATGATTTTTATTAGAATGATTATTTAGAACATTCACTTGCATAATATACAAAAAAATATCATGTCTATATCTTTCCATATTGTCCATTTATAGTGATTTGTTTTTCCTTGTCTGGCTATCAACTAGCAATTTTAAACGATATTTTTTTCGTATTCAAGTAAAGTTTCGAGACTGCCAGTAAATCAATAATATGAGATGTATTCACCCGATTTCAGGTGTTGATAAGATCTATGCGAAGTCGAAACTGCAGTCCACTTCAGCCGGGGTGAGAGTAACTCTTGGGAAAGCAATTCTATGTTAAATTTAATGGAAACGTCAGTTCTACTCATATCATTGTGGTAACATTCGACTACCAGTCCTTAATCACCCTAATCGAAATAGGTTGAATACATCTCATACAAAAGAATGTAGTTTGACGTCTTAGACATTGTGAAGCCTTTAGCCTAATCAAGATCAAGTACATCTCGATATGAATAATTGGGCAGCACCAGTGAAAGAATGGATAGGTATTGTTTGATGCTCCGATGACGCTCGCCTCGGATTCATCGAGCTCGGGCTCGAATCAGCGGTGACAGTTGGTCGCGCTGACGTCAAACAATCAATGACTACCACCTGAATACACGAAATGAAATGTCCGATAATGCTACAGTATTGAGAAATTTTGCAAAACCTTGCCACGATCTCATTTTGGATAAGTTTACGTCATATCGGACAAATTTCACTAAGAGAATATGGCTTATGCCGGCGGAAAAATAGTAAACGCCAAAATATGAAGATCAATATTGGCACAAGAGGAGTTGGATTCTTGCGGTGGTTTGAGTCAAGTGCTGATCAGACAACTTCAGAGGTACCCCAATTTAAAATGCATATTATTATTAGCCTATACAGCACACAGCCTACATTTAATACATATCTTTTAACTGTTATATTGTGTTATATCATTTTTATTGCGTATTGTGCGCAGTTTTGTATCTTATGTATCTGTAAACAAATGGGCCTACGCAAAGTAGCACCAAAGAATGGTTAATGATATCCGGTCGTTCATAAGCAGATCA